AGTTGGGAAAGAGGGGTGGGAGCGGGGGAGCATGGGTTAGAAGGAGGGTAAAACCTAAAAAATAACGAATGTAATACCCCCTGAAGTTTGCGGCGATCAATGTCTTCCAAAAGTTATTCAACATAAAACGTGGACATGTAAGCTCAGGCGGGACGTCATCAAAAAGGACAATGCCATTACAACAACATTACTCTCTCAAACGATCTCTTTGACAGTTGGGAAAAGCGGAGTGAGAGTCGAGTCTGGGTGGGTGGGTGGGTTCCAAACTCCAGAATATAAACTAAAGCAGTGGAAACAATAGCAATGGAAAAACATCGCACGTGATAGTTAGGGTACCGTATTAAAAACATTGACAACAACAGAAACAACAACAAGAACAACGACAACAATAATAATAATAATAATAATAATAATAATAATAATAATAATAATAATAATAATATGAATAATATGAATAATAATAACAATAAAATGAATAATAATATGTGTAATGATATGAATAATAAAACAATACTAGCAATAATAATTATAATAATGATACAGATACAATAAGGACAGAAACAACAGCAGTGTTTCTATATATTTTGACCAACGCCTTCAATTAATGTTGTTTTCGTTTGTTGTAGCCGTTATTGACAAAATCATTTTTTTCTCCGTTATGTTAATAGCAAAAGTAAAATCTAATGAATAAAACTGGAATGGGTTTCTGTGAGAACCTGCAAAGCGGAAAAAAATACTCGAAATTGCTGCGTTTTGGGTAAAATGTTCAACTATTTACTGTCTTTTTTTCAAACTTCATTGTCACTTCACCCCCTGTTTTCTAAGATGCAGTCGTAAAAATAAAAATGGTTACCCTTATCTTACAACGTGACTGTTTATTTCAATTGTATCAAACATAATCAAGAGTTGCATGATGGTGTGAAAAATGGTAATCAGTGGTAGGTACTTTATGCGGAATAATTATTATCACTTGTTTATTAAAATCCCAAACAAAACAATCAGATATGAAATATAATCACACGATCGCTGACTCGTAGAAGCAAGGGAACAAATGTACATGCGAAAAAAGAGGAAAAATTATTTTTTTTAATGTCTGTTTTCATTTTTCCACATAAATTTAATATTGGATAATATATTTAACATTTTCTGTAACAGAAAAAAAGGAGTGACTTTTTAAAGCTGAAGAAGAAAGTAGATAAATTCAAAATGAATATTTTTCTTTGCAGGGATTTGCTTGATAAAGATGAAAGAGGACTTAAAGTAATTACCCCCA